TAGAAGGGGCTTTTGCAGGGGGATTTCCTTATTCAAGTTTCTAATTATCTCAGAAAAACTGTGATTTTTCTCCAACTGGCAATTGGATTTCTAGAAACTGGAAGAGAGAAAGGAAATCTCTACGAAGCAGAAAGAAGAAAAAGGTAAAGAAAGTGTCAGTTGCTGTGTCTGTAAACGGCACTGGAGACAGGAGAACCTGGGGAAAGGAATAAAAGAAAACCCGTCCCCAAATCTACTCCCTTTAACAAATTACTTGTGTGTTCCAATTCACAATGCCTCTATTTCACCTCTGCTACGACTGAGGAAGCCCTGCGACACAGGGACACATCTTTTAGGAGACACACTGGGTGATACAATGCTATAATCACGGGGGCTCCATGTTGGACTAGGCCAGGTTCCGACTGAGTAGGGAAACTTCAGAGTCTCATGTGAGGATGGAAGGAATTGTGAGATGCAATAACAATTATGTGGGTGACAGGGCTGTCATTACAACTTTACTCCTCTGTCTTTATAACATTATTTAGTAAACTTTAATTTCCTAGCTTAAATCATAACTTAATATTTATTACTAATTCATGTGTAAAAATTCATATGTGCATACACATATTGTGCTCATTCCTTCAGGAAGACAGTTTCTTGGGTTCTTGAGGCATACATCCTATGATAAAGACACAGCTGTGCCTAACCCGAGCATAACTCCAGACTTTGGCATACTGCTAAGAGTTGAGAGTATTTCCAAGCCACCCACCCTGCAGTGATGGCGTGATGACAAGCACGTTTACACCAAGGAGAATCTTAGAACCCCCTAAAGACATTTCTAAAGGCTAAACATTATACAGTACTTCTTAAAGAACCACAGGGACGTTTTTCACTCCTTCGTAAGGTGCCGCATATAAGAGCCTCTGTCATTCTACTCCTGGCATACCAGGGATATCAGATACAACTAGCAAACTGTCTAGTCCAAAGCAAACCCCAATTCCTCAAACTCCAAAAGGCAGTACAGATATCCAGAAACAAGTTCAACCTGGACTATAGAAGAATTTCTGGCAGTTGAATAAAAAGGCAGCCAAGGAACCAATTTCCTTTACTGCTGGCAGAAGGCCTATCAGTCTATCATAGTGCATGCTGGTATCAGAAGTACCACACTAGCACCCTGGCCATTCTCACCTCCTCCCCTAACATAAACGCCCTCCAGCTCATAGGCTTCCTCCCCACAGCTACTCACTCACTCTCCTTATAACCCTGCTAATCTCACTACGTACTGTCCCATCTCTGCTCCTACTTCCGTCATTGTATTTTCTCTATTCCCTATTCCCTGCTATTCTCCCCTTTCTCCCAAATAGCTCTGGCCATATCCAGTTTTCTGGCCATGCCCAGTCTGCTTCTTTCTCTCTGCTCTGGCTGTTCTTTCTCTCATATCTATAATAAAATCCTTCGCCTTAACCATACTATACATCAGCCATGCCGTCACACAGAGACGCCTTTCCAAGGTGCCTAACCTCTCCAAGCCAAACCAAGCCACTGACTTTACTCTCCTAAGGTATGGAGTATGTGTTTCTTCTGGCTCCTGATGCCCACCATCCCCCACTTCGTTTTAGAGTCCTCCTCTTCAGCTGCTTCTTCCCTCCACCTGTTCTCTCCTTGAAGCTACCTGCTCTTTCTCTGTCAGCTGCTAGATAGAGCCTACTACTGTACAAAAGTCATCAGGTGTGTTCTCCCTCCCTATTGGGACCCATCACATGGAAAGGGATGCTTCTCCTTTGTGAGTTTAAACATTTCCCCCTGACAAGTCTCTCAGTCCACTTGGGGATGCCTTGGATTGGAATTCTTGTCACCAGGACACTTAACGTTCTCTCTCCCATCCTTGGTCTCCTGACATGGTCTCAGCTCCCTCCTGGAGCTCGCTCTGTCTCTCTTGTCCATCTCCTCACTCTAATCCTGACTGCCTCCTCGCTATCTCTGTCTCTCAGCTCCCTTCTGGAGCTAACTCTGTCTCTAACCATGGCTAACTATTTGTCTCTCCTCATCTCCCCATGGGGTTTCCTACTCTGTCTATCCTTCTAATAGGCTCACTGGGTCCCTGACATTGGAGACTTACAGGTATATCAGGCATTGTTTATGCTCTCCTGAGCCTATTGGAATGCATATTCTCTCTCTCTCTCTTTCTCTCTCTCTCTCTCTCCATTCAGAATACTCCTCTCCCACCTTCTTCTCTAATCTCTTTTATTCCTCAGACCTTGAGATCCCATTAAACCTCCCTGTCTTGCTACAAAAGGCTTGACCTCAGTACAGCTCAACAGCCAAAGGTCACTCACTAGATTTCCAAATTCTCACACATTGTAACAACTTCTGCCACTGTGCAAACCAATGATCACCAAGTCTCTATCTTTAAACCTTCTCTGCTCCCTGCTCTTATCTCTGAGCCTTCTTTGCTCTAGCCTCTCCCCCATCACTAAATTCAATTTTACAGAGATTCAAATGTCTTCTGTGTGTGGATAATATTCACATGCTATTCTGCTTTATTTTGAAACATCTGTCTCTGGAGTTGGGCTATAGCCTCCCTCTCTAAGTCTAAAAATGATTGTGTATAAGTTTCCTACAAAATCTGTCTTGGGTCAAGCAGGGACACTTGTCTTTCTGAGTAGGAGAAGGACAGCAGCAGAAAAACACAGAAAAAGACACTCTATGCTTTAAAACAGCTAAAAAGTAAGTTGTTTCCTCTGGAGATATATTGTTTATGATCTAATGAATCTTGCCCGGAGATCAGAATGAAAAGCTAGCCACACTCATAGAAGCCAGGCAATGGTGGCATATGCCTTTAATCCCAGGACTCAGGAGACAGAGGCAGATAGATCTCTGTGAGTTCAAGGCCACCCAGGGCTATATGAGAGCACATCAGTCTGTTTTAGACTCATGCCTTTAATCTCAGCACTAGAGAGGTATATAAGATAGGATTGGGATCTCAGAGCTGGCAATTAGCCTCCATCCACGTTGAGGACAGGAGGCATTCTGACTCCAACCATTCTGAGGATTCGTGGAGCAAGGATCACCCTTTCAGTCTGAGGTAGAGGTAAGAGCTGGTGACTTGGCAGCTTTGCTTTTTTGATCTTCAGCTTGAACCCCAATATCTGTCTCTGGGTTTTTTTATTATTATTCATGTTACAGTTCCCAATAGGGATTGTGACTCCTTGTCTCATACTCCTCTTCTTGGTTTTACTTAACTCTCTTGTAACACTAAAAGGTTTACTGAAGTATAAACTTTAGCGCAAAATTTGTAAGACTATTGTGCAAACTTCCTGTATCTAAGGAAGCAAATTCACTGGGTGTGGTTAAAAAAAACTTGTAAAATCTGTAACAAAAAGTTAGCTTAAAATTTGTAACAGAAAGGGTTTAAAACTCTATACCTTGTTTATAGCACAGGATGCTCACCAAGCCGTTGATAAGCATTGACCTATGAACCCACCTACCAGTTCTAGGCAGGAGACTTGGTTTGGATACTGAAGATCCTTGCCCAGACCCTGGAGTCTGTCTGGAAGGGACTCTCCAGTCATCTTCAAAGTACCCAGTGTGATCCCTGAACAAGGCCACTGTGGATGATGACAGACGGATTGTCACTTGGACCTTGGGCTCTTAAAGATAAGACTGACCAAAGTTTACTAACCTGGGGTACATGAATCCCATGAGACCCAACCCTGGACTTGGGAATTCAGAAAAGTTGAGGATGGGAAGCTCTTTCATGCAGATCTCTGTTCTCTTAAGTCCCTACCAGAGGAGAGACAGGAGTCAGTAAGTCAGGTTGAAAGGGGGCTAGAAGAGGACCTTCAGGGATTATAATTTTATGCATGTCCTGCCAAGGACAAGTATCTGCATCATGTCCTTAAATTGTCTGGCTTGCTTGTACATGGTTTGACTAAATGTGCCTCCTCGAACCTACTGGAAAGTCATTTCCCTTACCTCTGGCAAAAGGGACATATAACTGCCTATGGCACCTATCAGAGTATCAAAGCAAGTACCCGTTCCCCCTTTCAAAGTCCATCCTAGCTCCTCTCACCTTCCCCGCCTACTCTAACTCACCAGCTTCCCTCCCCAGAGCTACTCACCCTCCTTATTCTCACTATGTGCTGTGTCCTGCTCCTGTTCCTCTCACCGTGAGTTCTCTATCCTTTATCCCCTGCTACTCTCCCCTCTCTCATAGGTGGCCCTCGCCATGTCCAGTCTACTGCCCATCACGTTCACTTTACTCCTTTCTCTATATACTCTGGACTGTCCCACAGACCTATGACTGTTCTCTCACATCTATAGTAAAAATCCTTTCCCTTAACCACACCACGGAACAGTCACTCATCAGTTTATACACAAACTGCTTGTGCCTAAGCATTAGAGCTGAGTTCAAGTGCAGAGCTGTCACGCTCTAGCTGTGTTATCTCTGCAGTTCTTAAGCTCACTGAACTTCATTTTGACTTGTAAAAGCCTGCAGAGGCTGTCTTCCTCTCTTCTCTGCTATGAAAACTGATGTCATATCATCGTACTCAGGAGGTTTTAGGGGCCCAATAAAACAATCTGTATAAACTCAAAACTGGATGGACCTCCCAAGGTAGAATCCCTTTGATTGACCATCATCAAGCGGGCATTTCTGAGAAGGAGACTCTCCTGTAGAGGCCAAGTGCGAGTGGGCTCTTACTCCTGTGCCTGCAGTAGGCACCTAGCTGAGACCCAGAGCCCAAGGGTTACCTGACAAACTTGCTGTGAGAGGGCCAGCAGAGAAAAAATGAGAGAAGAAACAGGACAGAGCAACAACACAAAAATATCCACCAGTCCAGTCACCCACAGTTTCACAGCTGAATTCCTGGAAGGGAAGTTTCATTTTTCCGCGTTGTCACAAGAATGTAAAGAAATCTTCAGAGGCTTATTAATACAAAGTAACTGTCTTAACTAACGTTACTTTGAGAATTGGTTCCTCCGGAGTCCTGGGTTGTAACCACAGCCCAGAGTCAACTTACTTCCCCAGCTGAACCACCTGTTGAAAGTGCCAAGTCCACCGGTGCCACACAGCCTCGGAGGGAAGCCCTCTCCTGCCTCAAAGTAGATCTTTGTCAGGGCATGTCTCTCGCCCTAGTCTTTCTCCAGCCAAGCCAAAGCCATTCAAGACTCCGCCAGCACCAAGTGCTGGCTGTTCCCTACCCACACTTTTCCCAGAAAAGCTCAAGAGCTTCAGGATCTGAGCAGGAGATCTACCCTAAGCAGAGTCGGAAAAGAAAGCAGCTTCCCCGCCTTTCTGGACATCTGGGCAGGAAAGGGTGGCGTAATGCCAGCCGCATTTGGATTCCTGCGCGGTGGTCCCCAATGCGCATCGTCCCATATCTCAGGCGTCCCTCCCAATCTTACCAGAGACAGTACAGCCCAAATCCACAGCATGTCTGTGCAGCAAGGGAAAGCCAGCCCAAGTCTCCACCTCTCAGCAGGGTGAGTCACCTTCTCCCGCAGTCTGCTCGCCCCACCCCCTTGTTCTAGAAGGCCTCTGAATGTGTACTTTACTTGGCCCCGCCCCTGGCCTGTTAGCAAAGTGGTTCTCAAACCACTTCCCTCGGGTGTCCCCAGAAATCACTTTGAACACCTGTATGTCACTTTTCTGAGGGACCAGACACAATCTATGTAAAACCCCATGGTTTGGGAGGAAGTTCTACTGGACTCAGGGGAAATCCACTGACTCATCAACTCTCTGGCGGGAGGAGGTGGGGGGTGGGGCTGGGGAAAGGAAAGCCAAAGTAAGGCTTGATTGTACAACTGGGCATTCCCCCATCCTGGGTGCTTCCATAGAACCACCCCCACCCCACCCCAGTTCAACGGAGAGCCTTTTCCTCCTTTTGCTGCTGCACCCTGGAGAGAAATCTGAACTCCTGAGTGAATTGGCCCTTGACTAACTGCTGGAGACAAAGACCATCCTGCCTTCACTCAGCCTTCAGAATTTTTCATTGACTGAACTGGTGAGGCTCCTGGGACACCTAATAGTATACAGAATGGTAATTACCATAGAGGACATACAGACACTGGGATCCTGGTGAGGGAGTCCATGAATAGTGTATGGAGTGACAGTCACCATATAGGAGGTAGAGACACTGGGCTGTGTGATCCTGAGGGAAAGCCCATCCTGGCTGCATTTCCCAAGTGGAGAACAAAGCTAAATGGCCTATGACAAATCACATAACTGTTGTTGATAAGTCAGTGGTGACCAAGCTAAAATCCACAGAACCGCAGAGGTTAGGAATAGAGTAAGGGACCATGGTGGTGGTGGAGGGTAGGGGATGGAGGGTCAGATAGATCTTGTTAGGAAAGAGAAATAGAATAGATAGTTATGACTGGAGGGAGGGGACTGGGATGGGAGGATCAGGTTGGAAGGGGAGAAGAGGAAGATGGAGGAAAGAGAGGGAGAAATAGCTAGAATTAACTGCCATTTGGGAAGTAATATGGAGACCTGATACACATATGGTGGTGTTCTGCCTGCAAGATGTGCCGGTACAATCATGGGACAAAGTATGTGAGATTCACCAGCCAGTGTCTGATTTGACTTAGGCCCACTCCGAAAGACGGAACACACACCTGACATTGCTTGGGTGACCCAGAGCCAGACTCTAGATAGCCCAGGGATCAAGGGGGAACCAAATACCACTCTAAGAAAAGAAAAGAAGAGAAACATTGCAATAAAATGACTCCTAATGATATTTGCTGTCCTCATAGATCAGTGCCTTGCTCAGACATTATCAGAGAAGTAGATGGGAACAAATACAGAGACCCACAGGAGATATTATGAAGAGAGTAAGAGACCAAGGAACAATCAGCTTGAAATGGAATGTCTCCATCAACTCCCTCCCTTCAGGGTTCAAGGTACCAGCAGGAAAAGGGTAAGAGCCAGAAGGGATGGAGGACACAAAGAAATTAAGATTCTCTAAGTCAACATGATCAAAGCTCATTTGAACTCAGAGACTGAGGCAGCGTGCACAGGGCCTGCTGGGGTCTGCACCAGGCCCTTTGCAGATATATCATGGCTTCCAGTTCAGTGCTTGTGTGGGACCCCTGAGTGTGCCAATGAGTGCGTCTCTGTTTCTTGTGCCTTCTCTTGGCCCTTTTCCTTCTGTTTGCTTGCTCTGTCCAATTTCAGTACATTAAATTTATCTTATTTTTTCTTCCTATCATCAGAAGCCTGTTTGTTTTCTAATGACAGAAAGGGAGTGCCTGGATGGAAGGAGGGGTGAAAAGGGGCAGATGTGGGGGGTAGAGGAGTGGGAGGGACACTGTAATCAAAATACATTATGTGAAGAAAAATTTGATTTTCAATAAAAGGGGGAAAAAACCTCACCAGCTATATTAAACATTGCTATTACTTCCTCCTTTTGTCTTGATTATTTCCTGACCAATTTTCTTTGAAAAAAAAAACCCTATTTCTGTCATTCTCTTCTGCTCTAATTAATTAACATAGCTCAAAGTCACTATCATTTTAGAAAAGTAGATAGCACTTTAGTTTTGTGTGCAGGTTCTAGAACATTCCTTTGATACAGTTCCTCATGTTGTGGTGATCCCCAACCATAAAGTTGTTTTGCTGTTACTTCATAGCTGTAATTTTGCTATTGCTATGAATTGTGATACAAATATCTAATATCTAATCACCTCTTTTCTTCCCTGGAGGATTCACACACACACACACACACACACACACACACACACACACACACACACACACACACACACGAGAACCTCCTGTAGCATTTTCTTCTGAATTCATTTTAGCGCTCTGAATCTGGGTTGTCACCCTCCTTCCTGCCTGTGTTTCTTCTTTCTGTTTGGCAGATGTCTCAGTATTTCTACCGCAGCACCACCCCTCACCCATCTCTCCTTTCCTCCAACCCCCATACTGTATCATCTTCCTGTAGATTATCGGTGCCGTGAAGAAGCCTCAGCTTCCCTGCAAAGAGAAAAGGAAGGAGAAGAGAAAAGAATGGAAGGAGGAGAAGTAGAGGGGGAAGCTGGGGTTGGGGTAGGCAGCAGCACAGGCATGCACTTTGGTAAAAGGGCATTTGGTAAAGTCAACATTCCTTGAGTATAAACTATGAGTCAGCAACTTTCACTTTCGATCCATTCTCTTAATACTTTTCAACTTGGGTGGGGTAAGTGATTATAGAATTACTTTATAAATATTGGCCAGGAAGGGCAGACAGCCTGATTTCTATCACCAGAACTCTCAAATGGTATTCTTTGACCTCCACATGTGTGAACCATGGCACATATACCATGAATACACAAACAATAATAATAAAGCAATTAGCAAAGGGGTCAAGACCGTGCTGGAGAAATCCACAGAAACAGCTGACCTGAGCAAGTGGGAGCTCATGGGGAGCCAGCATAGAATCAAACCTGGTTCCCTAAATGTGGGTGTTGGATGGATGGATGGAGAGGTGATAAGAGAAGAGAGATAATAGATCTTAAGGAACTGGTTCACATGTTTACAGAACTGGTATGTCTAGAGTCTATAGTGCATGCTAGCCAGACGGAGCCCTGTGAAAACGTTGTAGCTCAAATCCAAGGCAGCCTGCTGGTGGGATTCCCACTTTCTCAAGTGTGATCAATCCTTTTCATAAAGCCTTGAGCTTCTTGAATGAGGCCTAGTCACATTGTGAAAGGCTATAATTTTATAAACAGTCCATGGATTTAGATATGAATTTCATCCCAAATAGAATGTCTCAAAAATATGAATAATGTTTAAATATATGGGTACAACAAGCTGCTGTGCATGACAGATAATACTAACAGTCATGGTAGAGTTAACACCAACCCCTAGTACCAGGGTAGGTGGATATGTGGGTTAGGAACTCCACTTTGTCAATTAAAGCAATATTTCATACCTAATTGTAATAAACCTTGGGGTCATTTGCAGCAAGCAATTGAGACACAAACACTTTCTCACTGGCTTTGAAATAGGAACACACCTATCTGTGAGATGTGCTATTGGTATGGTTGGTTGTAGGAAAGAGTTCATGGTTTCACAGAGCTAGAAGCAGAGTGTTCACATTGAAAGGAAGTCATGTGGAGAGTTGGAGCCTGGGGTTCCACCTGACTCCTGGGTGACCTTCCCTTGGGATTAAAACTCGGGCTCCCCACACTGCCTCACCCAGTCAATTCTCAGCCTCTATGTAAGCCAAGTTCTTACAACTCTCAGGTTCTTTGGGTTCCATTAAAGCTTATGGCCAGTGTAAGAAATCCTTTGTTACCAATAATAATTGCTTAAACATTAGCTATTCTGTTTTCAAACTTAGATAAGGAAGATACCTCCACACTCCCTTAGAGAATACATGGAGTCCAGGGAGATACTTTGTCTACAAAATACAGCTTCTGGCACTAGAGGGCATCAGAGCTTACACTGACCAAATGACATATCAACCAATAAAAATGAATGTACTTAGGTTCATAGAAAGGGAAATGGAAGAGCTTTAAGTTCACAAGTAGCCTGCAGTACTGATCATTCAGGTATTTTCACCTCCAAAGACTGCATTTCCCACAGGGTAGAGACTATGTTTGCAAAGGCTAGCACTCCAGGAAGCCAGCTCCAAAATATACATGACTAGTCCTGGGGTGGTTTGACAACTTTTACAACTACTGACTTGGAGTCACAGATACGATGAAAAGGGAGATAAATTACCTGGTTTCTAGTGTCCTTCCCCAAGATATTTCCTGTACAAGCATGTTCACATGCCTGAAGGAACAGCACTGCCCAAAGAAAAGACTCCCAGAACCTAACAGGGGAGAGCTGAATGCCTGGCCCTTGAGATGTGGAAGAAGCTATTTAGTCTTCCAGATACTCCCACCACTAAAACCTGGCACACCACTATCCCTCTTGACCAACCACATGGAGATGACAATGTGTTGGTGAGCATTCAGAAACTGAGATGCAGATGTGAGGGGTGGGGCTAGCAGCAGGCAAGTGGGAAAAATAGCTGATCTGCAGACCCAGACTTCAACACCCAAGGGAACATCCTTCCCCCGCTATTTCTGCATGTAAGTCTGCTCTAAACAGACATTCCGGGACTCCAGGCACAAGTGCCCTTATCGCCAGGTGCTCAGAACTGACACACAGAGGGAACTTGTCTTCAGAAGTGCTGACCTGACCTGGTGTTGATGGGGGTTTAGCCTCAAGTAGGCTCCACTTAAGACAGTGTTAGACATGATGATCTAGCGCCATCTCTACATTGGGAAAGATTGGCTGATGGGCTGCAAATTACTCAGCATAACTCAT